GCAGAAACATCAATTCTTTCTCGCTCTCTCTCTCTCCCTCTGACAGGGTATCCCGGCTATTCAGGAAGTCTTGCTTCTCATTTTCTCCCCATGAGTCCCTTGGATCACCATAGCAACAGTCTCTATGGACAGCACCGCTTCTATGAAACTCAAAAAGGTAGGTGTCGGGTGTGTGAAAAAGAGCTTCATATATTCATGGAACTGCTTCATCAGCACTCACTCCAGGAGCCAGAACATCTGGTAACTCAGGATCTAGTTTTCCAAGTTGACAACTTCTTGTTCCTTTTTTCTCCATATATATGTTCAAATGTCATCCTTCTAGATGAAAAAGTTTGTAAAGAGTTTTTAAAACCTTCAACTACAGCAATCCATTTGAAGTCTTTTCCTCCTACTTCCAGATCACTTTTACCTGCGAGGCCTTCCTCCCCAGCCCCCTCTGCTCTCCACCAGTCACAGCCTTCCTCCCCTGTCCAGAACCGGCCCGGGCCACCCGCTTGGCTCCTGCAGCCGAGAAACAGACAATGGTGGAGGTGTCGGGAAGGGCGCCAAAGATGTGGTCGAGAAAGGAGCTTCGACCGTGTCCAAAATGAAGGAGCGATCGAGCAGCAAGGAGCGGCATCAGGAGAGCAAAGACAAACAACATCAGCTCCATCATCACCATCTTCAGCAACAAAACCATGCCACCACCACTACGGCATCTGGCCACTGCCACCAAGCCTACCCTCACCCCCACCAGGCTCTCTTCCAACACCTCACACCGCAGGGCAGGGAAGACGAGCACAGACATTCTCTGGAGCGACACAAGGAGAACAGAGACAGTGACTCGGGCAATCAGGAAACAAAACATATGAGTTCCTGCAAAATGTCCGGCGGTTCGATTGCAGAGCCTGGTTCTGCAGGAAAGGGGGGGGCGCTGACTAGTTGCAGCGGTGGAGGAGTGGGTCGACCTCCATCTGGAGGCAGCAGGCGGTGCTCCAAGGATGGAACCATAAACGGGGAGATGAGGATCAGTGAATCCTCAGCTTCCTCAAATGAATGTATGAGAAGAGGCGGGGCCATACTGGCACCTCCAACGACACACTCTGTGCCCTCCTATTCCATGCCTCCTCCCCCCCCTCCTCCACCTCCTCCTCCTCACGCCTTGCACATGGGCTCTGCAGTCGCAGGAGGGTGGCTACACCCTGGACATCACCATCCCCACCCAGAGTTTTACTGTCCTCCAGCCCCTCTCACACTGACACCCTCCAAAGATCCGACCCCTGCAGGTTCCAACAGGGAGGCGAAAGTGATCGGCTCGACCTATGTGCCCTCAGCGGGGCCACTGGGGGACCTCGCTGCGACTGACTGTCGAGGAGCAGGTGGAGGAAAGGGGTACGACAAGAGTGGAGAAGGGTCTTACGATGGTCCCTCTAATCATCTCAGCAGACACAGTAGTTGCCAAAAGAAAGACAAATCCCAGACACACCAGCAGCAGCTGGGGTACGGCAAAGCAGACAAACCTCCTGACTGGAGCCAGCAGACGCAGCCCCACCACAAATCCAGCTCCAATCACAGCTCTCAGACTGAACTCCGGTCCTGCAACCGGGACACAGCTTCATCCTTCAGAGACTTAGAGGTCATGGACAATGTTTACCGGCCGTCGCTCCCGCTTGATGCACAAGGACCACACACTGGTGCCGGACAGGGTGCACACAAGAATGGCCCAGACACAAGCACTCCTCCCTTCAGGGACTGTTCCCACTCAGGTCCTCATTCTGATGGAAGGGTAGGGTCAGGGGCGTCGGCTCAAAGAGAGGGACAAAAGGTGGCAAGGATACGGCATCAGCAACATAGCAGTCACGGAGTAAGCACAGAAGAGAGGGGGAGAGAGAAAGGTCCAACAGCACCCTGCTGGGGGGGTCAAGGAGGCTACCAAGAGGACCAGAGGAAAAGCTCCCATCATGCATCAGATGGCGATGGGGAAGTAAGAAGCTTCAGCAACAGAGCTCAAAACAGCGACCACAACCAGCCCCCTCCTCTTCACCCCCGCTCCTCCTCTGAGGCTGAGGGCAGTGCCATAAAGAACCTAATGAACTACAGCTCCCAGCAGCCTTTGCTTCTGCCACAGCGGGGCCCCTTTGGAGGTCTGGGCTGCCTAAAGCAGGGCGGAGAGAGATCAGAGAAGGGTGACAAAGGAGGGGCCAAAAGCAACACGTCGCCGCAAGATCCTCCCAAACAGTCTCTCCCTCCTCGTCGAGGGTCCACTAATGAGGCAGAGAGGGGTGACAGAGGTGGGAAGGAGGCGGGGGAGGCAGGAGAGGGGGAGGTGCGACAGCCTCCGGTGGGTATTGCGGTCGCTGTAGCCAGGCCCCCTCATCGTTCCCCCGACAACACCCCTGGACACAGCAGACAGGGCAGGGTGCTGCCCAGCATGAAAGGTCAGACATCATTTATGCTCCTTGCACTAAAGTCAATTAATGCTATTTCTGTGCTCTGGACGGCATTAAAGGTAAAATCCAAGATTAAACAGTTGTAGTTCTGTAAGGATTCTTACATTCTTAGATGTTTTGGACATCAGTTGGGACTTTCTTCTGCGATTAATTGACCAGACATTTATATATGTCCAGCGGAGCTTTTGCATGTCAGATATGAAGGTTTATGGGGGATTCCATTTTAAAAAAGAACAGTTAGGCTACTTATTTGTACATAGTAAGTTGTTGACATTGGCCTTCTAGCGACAGTTAAATTACTCTTTTTGTCATAAATACATTAGGGCATGTCCAGATTTCTACTTTCAATATTTGTTTTGGGGCTTTTTGCCTTTTTTTGGATAGGACAGTGGACAGAGTAGGAAATCGTAAGAGAGATATGGGAATGACATGCGGGAGCTGCAGGTTGAATTTGAAACTGTGCCTCCCACTTGGAGGACTGTGGCCACCCAACATAGGACACAACCTAACCACTAGGCCATCAGCCCCCCCTGTCCAGATTTGTTTTGGCTGGGCTTTCCCACTTTGGGTACTGCTGACTGATGCAGGATTGGCCTCAAGTATGAATGAACACACAACCACCACATTCAAATTAAATTCCATTTCTGTCTTAGCTTATCATATATAATTGTATACTATCATTACAGTTCAAAATAAATATGAACATATCAAGTTCCCATGAGTCATTCTTCAAGAAGATTATTTAAGTCAAATTAGAAACAAAAGAAAACATGCAATAAGGCCCCAATACAGAGTTCAGAATTTTGGAGGATTGGGTTAACCAATAAGATTTCAATTGGGGCATGCCATCCCCTGGATACGCCCCTGGCAACAAAGCTACAATTTCAGAGATGCAATGATCGGAGCAAATAACTATATCTTCTATCTAAGTATGTGCTGGTAGACCAACTTTGTAAAGAGACCAAGACAAGTTTCACCAATGGGATATAAAGTATATTGTGTCATATTGTACTGACCCGTATTGTTAAAACGTTGTGTAATAATGATATTTTCCATATTGCTGTAACTGTAAAACTCATTGTGAATTTTGTTCAGGAGTGTCAAGGCCTGTGTATCCTCTTGGTCGGGAAGCAGAGGACAGGAAGAGGATGACAGAAGAGCAGATCAGCCTTCATCACCTGGACAGAGACAGAGAAATGATCATCAGGTACAACTAACTTCTCAGACACCAACAAAAAATAAACACACACACACACACACACACACACACACACACACACAAGCATCTTTTCAGTCTTGCTCTCATCTGATAAGCTGCACTTTGTATTCTCTTGCCTTCTCTCTCCCAGTCTGAGGCTCTGCTTCCCTTTTCACTCATCCCCTCACTCCATTTACTCTTCTCACTCTTTGATGTGGTATTTCTCTTCCCTCTCACTCCCCCCCCCCTCTCTCTCTCTCTTTCTCTCTAAGAAGAGATGTGGTGCATTAATGTTACAGGCACTAATACAGATGTCTCTGATGTATCTGGCTCTTATTATGTAGTCATATTAGGGGAAGAAAACATATAATGAGGACTCATAGACTGGGCTAAAAGATGATGGCTGTTCCTGTTGCCGTCATATTTCCTTTTCTTGATGATCATAATGGTAGTGGTGGTAATGAAGATGACAAGGATGAAGATAATGATCATAATGACGGTGGTGATGACAATAAGAGGGATAATCAAGATAATGATAAAAAGTTCACCCTGCCTATCTCCACTACAGGGAAAATAAGGATCGCGTAGAGTTCGCCAGGATTCACCCTTCCAGCAGTTGCCACGGTGACCTGACCTCTCACCTCTTGGTTCCTGGAGGTGCGAGTCAGTTAGGTGGGGACCATGCTGCACATGCTCACCCAGCTCACCACCACTGGATGCAGAGGACAGGAAGTCCCTCCCTCTGGATGGGGCATTCATACGGTGAGTAGAGTGGTGGAGCAGTATGTTTTTTTCTTCACTATTGCCATTTGGTGGTTTATGATCATGAGGTGGTGGTGGGGGGAGGGGTGTACTTGGATCTTATATGGAATCCTTTTTTTGTCTTCTGTTGTTTTAGATTCTGTTTGGCATTCATTTATTTGTTGGGAACGTTATCTTTTTAAAATCTTTTTGTAAGATTTATTTTTGGGCTTTTTGTGCCTTTATTGGAGAGATAGGACAGTGGATAGAGAAATCAGGGAGAGAGAGTAGGGAATGACATGCAGGAAAGGAGCCACAGGCTGGATTTGAACCTGGGCCGCCCGCATTGAGGACTATAACCTCCATATATGGGACGCGCGCACTAACCACTGTGCCACCAGCGACCCTGGAGCGTTATCTTGGGGGAAAAAAGTTGCTGTTACCTCAACGTTTTAATATAATGGATACATGATTCATTTTGACTTGCTACGGAATCCAACTCAGTTTGTGTTGTTAACCTCTGGTTGTAAGAGAAGATCCAGAATGTGCTACAACAGTATGGTCAATGTAACCAAAACCACCTGCTCAGCAATGAATGTGCCTCTTTGAAACAACTGCAAGTAACCGGCACTTACTTCTTGATCAAACAGCATATTAATCATATAATACCTATCAGAGTTGCTAGTTCGTTGGGGGGCATCAAGACACCTCAGGTCCCTCAGGACAGGTTTACTCATTATTCCCAGAATCAGAACCAAGCAATAGTAGAACAAAGCTTCTAGAGCTTTTCTCAAACTTTGAGGTCTACCATACGTTTAAACACTTTTTTACCTTCTTGTATTTATTATTTATTTCTTTATTAATCTATTTTGATATATATTTATATGTTAATGTACAGTTTTTATCTCAGTAAAGCGCTTTGTTTGATTGGTTCTAAACAGACTTGACCTTGCCTCCTTATTCCAGGTTTAAGCCATGTAGGTATGACCCCAGGCTTCCCTCCCGGTCTGCCCAGCCCTCTTCAGCCCGTCCTGGGGTCCCTCACCCAAGACCCTAACTCCCCACTGGTGGTTCTTCCTACAGAAGCGGGGCCTCATCATCCCTCGGTACGCTGAGTGCCCCTTTCACAACAAACGCACGCACACAACCAGCAGAGCACATACTCACTGCTTTCTTCACTGCCCCACTATTCCCCCTCCCCTTTTCTCTCTCCATTTGTACCATCGGAGCTGCTGCTATTTCTCTCCCAGAGTTTTAGTATCATTGGCTAATCATAATATAATGCTCAACTAAGTCCCTCTGTCAGTGGGACTGTGTTTTATAGCTTCGTTAATGGGAGCAGCTATTCCAGTGCCCCCCCCCCTGCATGTGCCCAGCGTTATGCAAACCAACTGAACTGCTGTTCATCTCTTTGTGGTGGAGCACTGGTGTGTTTGGACTACACTGTGTGTGTGTGTGTGTGTGTGTATGTGTGTGTGTGTGTGTGTGTGTGTGTGTGTGTGTGTGTGTGTGTGTGAGCACTTGGTCATCTAAAGTTAGCTGTTTTCACGTCTGGAACAATATGAGACATCATCGTTCAGTGTTAGGGGGTTGTGTTGCACATCTCAGATATTTTCGAGAGAGAGAAAAGAGTGAGTGTGTGTGAGTGTGTTTGTGTGTGTCTGTGTGTGTGAGTGTGTCAACGCTGCTTTGCAAACAGGCTGTGAAATTTAATTATCTCCCGCCTCCCTCGCCTCGCTCCGTGGGAGTTCCTGCAGAGAGGGGAAGTGCATCCACTGAACCCTTCCCCTGGGAAACATTAGCCCACTCAGGCTAATCTCACAGAACAAAGGTTCCCAGCGACAAGGCAGCCAAGGAGGGATGTGTGTGTGTGTGTGTGTGTGTGTGTGCGTGCGGTGCGCTTGCGTGCGTGCGTGCGTGCGTGCGTGTGTAGCCATGTGTGTATCTGAAGTCATATAGGGGTGGCATTGGGCATGATGAAAATGTCTGTTTCCGTGCATAGAAATACTTTTTAGGGGAATGTTGTTCAAGTTAAAGAGAAAATCTAAAATATTTTGCAGCAGGATTTCTTTTAGTGTCTTTGAGGCTAACATACAGACTGTTGAATTGCAGACAGCTGTTACATTCCCAGCAAATATGCACAAATAGCATCTCATTTAAAATAATTTCATGCACAGCTTTGGCCATTTATGTCTTTACCAGCTATGTTATCATTTTTCTATTAGGTATAATTATGCAAGGTAACCAAAAGGAATGTCTTGCTTAAAAAAACACATTTTTAAACCAAATATTCTCATTAAGAAAAAAATGCTTAACAATCTCTTATTTCTCATCTGCCATTTTTTATATTTCTACTCTAGATGTTCTGGAGCAGTCAGGTCTGTGGCCCCCTATGTACGGAGGTAGAGGTCCTCCCTCCCACCTGCAGCATCACCCTGTCTACTCTCGCTCCTCGTTCCTACGGCAACAGGAGCTATACGCCCTGCAGCAGCAGCACCAGCAGCAGCAGCAGCAGCACCACCAGCAGCAGCAGCGGGCCATGGAGAACATGCAGCGGCACTCATTAGGACAGGTAAAACAACCACTTTAGAGGATACATTTTAGTTTAAAACTTGCGAAATACTGTGGAGATGTTATTGTGAAACAGTGAGCAAATCAAGATAAGGAAGTGTGGACATATTGGAAACATGAGCAAACCTTCTTCCTCATTTAGATAGTGAAGAGTAAAAAATCAGTAAGAGTAAAGTATGAAGTGCAGATTTTTTTTCTGATGGTAAAACATTAAAAGAGAGAACATGCAAAAAAAAACACACTCAGCAAATATTTTTTTGGGACGTCACTGACTTTTGCACTCTCCAATGCGGATCATTTGGCAATCAAACTGTGTGGCTGACTCTAGCCATGTTTGCACAAGAAGCACAGTTCTCTGGGGCTCTTTTCAAATAACTAAAAGGTTTTTCTTGCTCATTTTGTGTCCTTGTGAAGATTGGGTATATTGGTTAAAATGTAAGAAAACATGTACTGAAGAAATCAGAAGTATTCTGTGTTTACCCAACAGTAAGGGGTTAAATAAAGTCCCTGGGATTGTATTTAGGTACTGGTTCCTCCAAAATTTCAGACTTGTTGTCATAAGATTTCCTTGGAGTTATGTCTGTGCATAAACTTTGTTAACCTTTCCAGTTTTAAACATCTCTTTCTAGACACATAATACATCAGGAAGTTATTAGCTCATTTACACTACTTGGTGGAATGACTATGGCTTTAAGGAAGTTAAATGAGGCAAATAGATACTCCTAAAGCAACTGTTTTCTTCTTCCCCAATTCCTCTCCAACAGAGAAAACATGAGGAGCATGCCATCACTATAGACGACTCTCCTCATGAATCATCCGCGCTCAGAACTTCCTCCTCGTCTTCTGTTTCATCCTCCACCTCCTCCCATGCTGCCAAACCTTTCTCCCACACGCCTCCTCCGCCCAAGACGCCCACGCCCTCTCCGGGGATGTGTCCCAGCAGCCGTCAGTCGCCCTGCTACCACTCCTCCCCGTCCAGGCGATCCCGTCCCCCGAACCCTCTCACGCCTGCGCCAAGCCCCGCCGCAGCGGCGCCACGCTCCCCGGCACTCAGCCCAGTTCCATCACTTCTGTCTAAGGGGCTGGAGAGGGGGAGCGAGAGAGGGGAGGGACAGCCACCTCAGGATTACCCACAATCACTAGAGCCAGGTAAATGTAGAAAAAAATCATGTTAATGTTTGAATAAAAAAAAGAAAACAGCCACATATCCAGAATCCAGAGAGAAAACAGGAGACAGATATCAGGCAGGAATATGATCGCAGAGACAGAGTGAGAGAAAAAAAATGTAGGAAAAGGAGAAGAGAGATGGAGGGTGATGCTGGTCTTTGAAGCGTGGTATTCTTTTGATTTTGCAGAAATTGTTTGAAGCATGGATGATCCCCCGCTCTGTGTGTCCTTGAGTGTGTGCATGTGTGTGCGCACATGTTTTATCTGCACAAGCTAAAGAGGGACAGCGGGCAGGTCAGTCATTAAGGTCACAGAAAGCATATGGGCACTCAGTGAGTGTGTCTGTGACCTGCCAGCATGCATGTGTGTGTGTGTGTGTGTGTGTGTGTGTGTGTGTGTGTGTGTGTGTGTGTGTGTGTGTGTGTGTGTGTGTGTGTGTGTGTCATAAGAGGAAGGTCAGTGAAATCTTCAGACAGACCCTCCTAATCCTTCAGAGGTCCTTGAGAAGTACAGGTGGAAGGATACACATTCATCTGGATGTGTTGTCAGGGGGGGCGGAGGGATACCATCAATAATAGGAGAGCCGGGGCCAACGCTGCAATCACAGGGGAACAGCAGGGGGGTCATCGGTATAGAACAAAGATCTATACACTCATCATACACACACATTACAAAACACATGCTCACACAGTAAACTACTGTACACATGCACCCTGCTGTCAGTGTATTATACCTACTGTAATCACATGCTTCATCCAGTCTGCCTGAAGAGAATGGCAATGAATTTTAAAAGCTGGACTTTAGAGTAGAGATCTATTTTCTGAAGATGCTTTAAAAAATGAAAGTGCAGAATTTGGTTAATATTTGATGTTTATTTTACCTTTATATTTTTTCCTGCAGACCTGCCACCTGTTTACACCTACCCTCCAATCACCATGGGTTTCAAGGCCGGGCCCTCGCCTCCCGAAGCGCGATTGGCTGAAGCCGCAGTGGAGGCAGAACCAGCAGAGCCTGACTCCAAGACCCTCCCGCATGCATACAACATCCAGCCCATCCCCAAAACAGACAAGAGGAGGGAGGAAGAAGAAGATGGGAGAGACTGTGAAGTGGTGGAGTCCCAGAGTGAGGCTTCAGAGGAAGAGAAGGAAGAAAAGAGTCAGGAGGTGAAAGGCTTCTCCTTCTCAGAGCCTCAGATTTCTGGATCGCTGCCCTGCCCTTCCCCCACTGAAGTCCCAGATCCAGCCTGCCCAACAATAGCCAAAGGCAAAGCCGTAAAAGTAGCGCTCTCTCTGGGTTGCTTTGGCCATGAGGCCGGCCTGGATGAGCCCCGGCTGTCCAAAGAGCAGGAGGATGACAGTAGACACACAAAAGAGTACATGGAGGAGAAGGAGGAGAAAACTGGGCCTGAACCGACAGAATGTAAAGTCTCTGTGCCTATGGAGGAGGATGGAGAGAATGTAGAGGTTGTTGATAAAGAAAAGGAAGAGGGAGGCAGAGGAATGTGTCCAGGAGAGAATGTAGTGGAGCTCATCAAGGACTCTCCTGCTCCTGCCCCGTCCTCCGACCTCACACTCGCTCCCACCTCGGGCTCAACCGCTCAGCTCCAGGGTGCCTACATGTGGAGTCTGGAGCTTCTGATTGCTGCGGCTCTGTGCGCCACCAGAGATGCCTTGTACCCGCCTGTACCCGCCACTCCGGCCCCAAGTCCTCCGGCCCACCATGGTATGGAGATACTGGGAGAACTGGCCGAGCTTGAGATCCAGCAGAGGAGCAGGGAGGGGAAAGAGAAAGGCAACGAGGGTGAGTTTTTAAAAAGTTGTCCCCTTTGCTTAAGTAGAGCCTTAATACTATGATGGAATATCTACAATTATTTGCCACTAAAAAATATTTTTTTTGACAAACCCAAAACAAAGAAATCATCCCAGAAGTTGCTTCTTTTTTATTGGCTGATTCTATCATAAAAAAAAACTTTTGGAGTGAAAATAGGTCCAAAACAAGTAAAAAAATCTAATTAAGAAAAAAGAGCCCACTTGTTTTTGTCTAAATAAACACACACACTTACATTGAACCACAAAAAAGGTCTGGGAGACGTGTGTGACCCAGATGTTAAGACACACATAAACACAAACACACACACACACATGGACACACATATTTCCCACTAACTACCCTGTTTCCTTCCTCAGCTTTTGACGAAAGACCGCATTTTTACCTCGGGGAAGGGTGTGTGTGTGTGTGTGATTGTGTGGTGTTTGGGGGGGAGGGGCACATAGATGGACCAACACGCTGAGCTTCAGACACAAGCCTGGACACACACACACACACACACACACACACACACACACACACACAGACACACTCTGCCCGGTGTGTCCCTCAGGCTCTGGCGTCTTGCTTTGCTAATTAGACCCTTTCCTTTAAAACACTTCTCCTGTAAGCGCTCCTATTTTCCTCTCATCCCTCTGAGAGAAAGTGTTTTTATTTATGCCAGCATCTGTGTGTGTTCGTTCGCCCCGCGTTTGTGTGCGTGCACGCACTGCCGCCGAGTGTGTGTGTTTGTAAGCTGTTAAGTAATCCCAGATGAATCCCTGCTCTCCTCCATCAGTGTCTATGTGTCTCTGCAGCAGGCTGCCTGCTCCCTGCCTGCGCCTCCTCATGCCTCTCCTCCCTCCTCTCTCTTTGTTATTTTTTCCCCCTCACCTGCTTCCTTTTTTCTTTTTTTTTTTATTAAACCAATGTAATCTTGTGTGTAAATCCTGCCGCTGCAAGTCTTGTTGATGGAATTAATAAGTGTAAAAATCATAAGGGCGCTGTGCAGCTGTCTGCGCACAGTGTGTGAGTGTGCATTTGTTTATGTGTGTGTGTGCACGTGGTTAGCATGTGTAATAGGTGTGAAATCAATAAGTCCTGTCGCGGGGTGGAAAATGTTCTCTAAATTGCAACACATTTATTTATATGAAAAAAAAAAAAAGCTTTGGACTCGCTACACGGAACGTTATTAATACTGCTGATGGCGTTTTTTTTTTTTGTCGTCATGAATGTGTTTGGAAGATGAAACCGATCCCAGACAGATGCATTTACGCCCGCTCCTTGATGCGGAAGGATATCTCAGCTCCTTCGAGATTGCAATTACAGATTAAAGAATCAAGAGAGATGTCCCCCCTCCTGTATAAATTAGCATCATTACTTCTCTTCACACCCAGGCAGAGGGGGCTGTTTGTGTCATAGCTTCTTTTATTCCTTCATATTTTCTTTATATTAAAAAATTCAGCTCAATAAACTTCCTTAATGGCCTCTAATGATGACGACACCCATATGAACTGTAATGGTTTTTAATTTTCCTCCCCTGTTTTTAGTTTTTTTCCCCCTCGAAATCCCCCCGTGCAGCCTCTTATTACACCCCCCTGTAGGGGCACAGTACGGTGTTATTACTCTGTGTGTGTGTGTGTGTGTGTGTGTGTGTGTGTGTGTGTGTGTGGTGAAGGTATCTATCGATTGACGGCCATCCTCCGGGATACTAAACTAGTGGTGATGTCAGCGGTGATGTCACCCTGTCAGAGTAACCGGAGCATGCCATTGGCTCGGAGGGTCTGACAGATGAGATGGCGTTGACCTCTGTGAGCTGGGACAGGACAAAAGACGCTTTCTGCTCTGCTTTTACTCTTCATTCTCATATCCGTTTGTTTTACTCGTTTGCACTCTTTTCCTATAACTCCGTCCTTGTTCTTCTTTTGTTTGCTGCAATTCTGTCTCCATTTCTCTCTCTCACACACACACACACACACACACACACACACACACACACACACACACACACACACACACACACACACACACAGGTTTTAATAATGTCAGATGTCAGCGAGTAGGCCTTGCAGCTCCAGCACGTCAAGACAGTGATCCAGTCAAACCTCTGCTCTCCTTTCCTCTTCTTCCCCTTCCTTTTCCTCTCCTCTCCTCTCCTCTCCTCTCCTCTCCTCACCTATCCTCTTCTTCCCTTTCCTTTCCTTTCCTCTCCTCTCCCCCTCTCCTCACCTTTCCTCTTCTTCCCTCTCCTTTTACTTATCCTCTCCTCTCCCCCTCTGCTCTCCTTTCCTCTCCTCCTTTTTCCTCCCCTTCCGTCCTTCCCTTCCCTCCTCTCCTCTCATCTCCTCTGACGGGAAATTGGATTCTGTCCATGTCCATAATGAGGAGATGTAGGAGAATAAATAGATAGCTCAATAAACACTTTGCTTCTTATTGCTTCTCCTCCCCTTTGCTCCCCCCCCTCCCTTTTTCTTACGGCGCTGCACACCTCTTCTTCCTCCCCATCATACTCCTCCTCCTCTTCTTCTTCCCAGTTGCTCTCTTTTCTTCCACTTCCTTCCTTCCACTGATGCAGTTCGTCCATGTCTGCGCAGCTCAGCAAAAATAGTTCAGCTGCATGTGTGAATTCAGAATGTTGTATTTGCATAGATGTGTGCGTTTGTTTGCTTGTGTGTGTGTGTGTGTGTGTGTGTGTGTGTGTGTGTGTGTGTGTGTGTGTGAGAGAGAGAGAACTGTCTCATGAATATTCTGTTTCATCTGTCGCCGCTGTGACAATGACAGAGTTAATGACAGTGACAGATGTAGAGATCGTTCTCCCCCCCGCTCCCCATCATGTGCGTTTGTGCGTGTGTGTGTTTGTGCGTGTGTGTACGATTAAGCAGCAAAACAAGTATACATCAAATAAACTACACAGCTAATATCATAAATATCACCACTTTTCAAGGCACCGTTTCATCGCTCAGCGAATAAATCTGTTCAGCGCACAAACATATTTTACAACATGGTGTCAGCCGCTGTGTGACGCAGCGATCTAAACCCCTACACACTCCGTCTCCCTGTGCAGGTGAAGACATGCTGACCTTTGACCTCCACAGTCTGGCCACCCTCGCAGCCGCCCGGGCCCTGGAAATGGAGGGAGGGGCAGTGGATGCAGGGGCGGAGCAGCAGTGTCCGATCAGGAAGAGGTTGAACCTGCGCAGGAAGTGCAGCTGGACTCCTCGCCACGAGCCGGTGAGGCTTCACTGAGAGCGTGTTTTCTGTTTCATGCAAACACGAAGCAGTCATGTGGAAAATATGGAGAAGCATTATACAGTAGAAATACACCTAATCTGTTTATTTGACATAGCTTAAAAAAACGGTCAAACTCAGAAATTACAATACATTATAGTCTGAATATTCTGAGTTTAAATAATGATTGTTCCTTTATTTTGAAATAACTTTTGTTGTTGTTCTTTTGGAAATAAAAAACAAGTACAGAACTATAAACAATTTTCCACTGAGGAGATGTGAGACCGAAAACATGTTTCTGTGTGTCCAACATTTTCCCCATTTAAGTGGCAACCAAAGCTAAATATTTATAACATCATTAAAAATGATTAATTCCATATGAATTTATAATCATAACACAATGTTTAACTTTTAATTACTAAAGCTTCTTTTACTCTTAACGTAGTGTGCTCAAATCTTTTGTCAATGCCAATTATCGCAAATGTTTCCAAATGCAGCTCCCAGGATCTCACACAAACCTTTGCCTTTAAGTAAAAATGGTGCTGTACAAATTCAACATATGTAAAAAGCGTCAGCGATCAAACGCGTGAGCCTCGTTTTAAAGATAAAATCCATCAAATCATTAAGCTGCCGAAAACACAAGCTGGCAACCTCATATGTGAATGACTGTTGTGCTTAGTCTGTGTTCAGGATTGAAATTCCCCTGCTTTTTGTTTTCTGTGTGTGTGTGTGTGTGTGTGTGTGTGTATTTGTTTGTGTGTCAGGTGTGCCCAGTGAAGGGCTCCATGGAGACGATGGGAGGGGAGGAGCTGGCCATGCGTGTCCAGCTGGCTGAGCTACAGCGCCGCTACAAAGAGAAACAGAGGGAACTGGCCAAGCTACAGAGAAAACACGACCACCAGTGAGCCCACACACACACACACACACACACACACACACACACACACACACACACACACACACACACACACACACTATACACACACACACACACACACACACACACACATATACACAATTCCTTCTGTGTAGATCAAGATGTGCATTCCAACATTCACAATATTGCCGTGAAGCTGCATCCTCCTGATTTATCAGGACTTGCAGCCTGCTCATTCTTAATGCAGTTTGACCTGCAAGCCGATACAAGCTTCCTTCTGCTGTCCGGACTTTATCTTTGATCCCTCTCTCTCTCTCTCTCTCTCTCTCTCTCTCCTCTTCCTCGTTGTCTCCTCTGTGTAGGAAAGAGGAGACGTCTCGCAGCCCTGCCCGCCGGGGCCCCGGCCGCCCCCGCAAACGCAAGTCCACCCCCAGCCCAGCTGCAGCAGAGAGCTCCAAGAGACTCCGGTCAGTGCTGTGATGTTGCATCAGTATAATCAGCGTGTGATTGGCAGGCCCCCGCTCATTCATCCTGATTTCTGTTTGTGTTCTTAGTCAAAAGCGCGGCTGATTTTCAAGAAGTTCTTCTTCAGCTGAATTGATTCAAATGCTCTATAGCTGATGATTTGCTTGATTGGGCACTGGAAGGAGCTGCTCGCACGCGCTCACATGCACACAATCCGTTTTACGTGATGGGAGCTGTAGGCTCGGTTTGTGATTTTAAATGAGAGAAGCTAATGGAGATGAGGCCTTCATTAATCATCATTAATCACTTCTAATCATATTTATCACTCGCATTGATTACGTCCTGATTCTGTGTGAACCTCCAGCATACATTAATACAGCCAGACAAAGTCCTGATGTACAGTTCTTACAGTGATAAACGACCCAACACCGCCCCTCCCCCGCCCCGCTACAACACACAACCACACAGTTTAACACCTCAGACGTGCACACTTTGATGCCGACACACATTCCTTCACACACACTCACATACTGGTGACACTCACACACACACACACACACACACACACAGCTGGTATTCAAGACTCAAAATGATGAATGTGTTTTCTCATGGTGCCCCACCTCTGTTAGTATGTGCTCCCCTCGCCTTGATAAAATGATTAGAGTAACTCAAGGTTTGTCACGTTAACCATGATTAGAAAGCGCTAATGAAAACGACAATGAAAGGCTTCCAGTTATACGCACCTAAAACACACACTCACACATACACACAGAACTTGTTTAATTAGTAGCGTCAGTCGCTGCGTGCCTGAACAGCATTTTTCTGTTGTTATTAATAAGCAACGTGTGATTTGTTTTATGCTTTCATCTCCTTGTGAGAGCTGTGTGCTGAGATAAACAGGTAGAGAGTAAGAGAACGATCCCAAACTGAGCAGAAGATTCCCAATTTATACCAACCTCTACAGCCTATGTCCATAAGTGTGGACATGTGATTAAACATCATTCTTATTCTGCCATTACAGCATCTACTCCTTTAAGAAGCCTTTTTTTGTGCAATATTCTGGCTGCAGGAAATTGTTCCCATAGACACAATGTGCAAAGGTTCTTAAGCTGTTTTCACAAAAACAATGGGAGACTCACCCTGAAATCTTCCTGCGACTAAGAACTCAAGATCTCCTCGCCACTTTCATAAAGGGTTATTTTTTGGTTAGGATTTTAAAAAAAAAACTAGCATTCTAGTTTCCATTTAAATTTCAGTTAAATTTCCCTCCAGCCTTCCACTGGACTTTGGTTCTTTGCATAAAAAGAGTCTGTGTGGAGGGCAAAGAAAGCGGAGCTCATTGGCTTGTAATTCATCCTCAGAGCCCATCAGAGGTCACCTGACACGATCTAGCCTCCACTAGTCTCTATAAAGAGATAACTGCATGCAACACATGCCGCCAACAAACTCCACAAAATCTCGGCTGTTGCTTCCTGAATCATTGCTAAGACGATTACCGATGGGTTCCCTGATTTCTGAGTGTATTCAAACTGCAATTTTGGGAAAATGACAATAGATATTGTCTTTGCTAGAAGACAAAGGTGACAATAAGGCGCCCTCATACAATACCAAATTAACAGAGATACGATTCAATACCATTGGGTAAACTTTAGTTTCCCCTTAGGGAATTTTTCTTGGACTCAGTTGCTGCATGCATTTAACTGCCTCCAAAGTAGCAGCAATAGATAAAACCCATAAAATCATTTTTCTTTTGGTGTAGGTATAACCTGATACAATCTGTCTCTATACAGCCACTGTAAGATGGTCTTGAATGCACTTTGTTTAAAGCCTATTGACTGTAAGTAGGCCTCCATATGTTTCAGAATTTCACTATATTCCAAAGGTGTCAGATGGAGGTGAGATCAGACAGCAAAACAACACAATTCAGAAAATAATTACTTTGTGTACTGGGTTTGTGCATAGGAGCATCGTGATATTAAAAGGAGAGAGAGATTTCTATATCGTATTATTCCACAAATGAAGTGAAGTTCAGGGCTTAGAAGCACAGGGAGGTGCATTTTTTAGATGGATCTTATCCATAACTCTCTCCTCTCCTCTCCTCTCCTCTCCTCTCCTCTCCTCTCCTCTCCTCTCCTCTCCCCTCCTCTCCTCTACCAGCGTCAGAGATGCTGAGAGCCAAAGCTTCTCTCTATGGGAATATAGGATTCACCTGCTTCAGACACCAGCTGCTAACAGTGTGTGTGTGTGTGTGTGTGTGTGTGTGTGTGTGTGTGTGTGTGTGTGTGTGTGTGTGTGTGTGTGTGTGTGTGTGTGTGTGTGTCGGCTGCCTGCCTGTGGTGTAAGAGAGTATGCATACAATGAAGGAATGACAGAGAGAGAGAGAGAGAGGAAAGGAGGAGTAGTGTTCAATAGAGGTTAGTGTTTATCGATCGGGCCCTGAAGCTCCGGTCAACGGACAGACTCCCCTGGGACTGCTTCATCTCTCCCTCTGTCTCCCTCCCTTCCCCCTCCACTGTTCTCTTCATCCCCCTCTCTGTCTCTCCGTCTCTTCTCCACTTTCCTTCACACCAGATAATTCTCATCCTTTCATGCGATGAGTCTCATATTCGCACGGGCGCTTAATATTTCTGTGTTTGCTGTCAAACTGTGCAGACGGGCAGCTGAGCCTGTCTCTTACCTCATCAAAGTTATGAGGCACAGAAGAAAAAAACAGTGAGAGAAAGGTAGACAATGAATGAACCCAGAAGAGAAGGAGGTGAAAGTAGAAAGTAGAGAGGAGAGAGTTATTGAGAATACCGTCCTTGATAAAAAAAAAAGAAAGAAAAGTGTGATCTGATTGATTCTATGAACAGCTTAATGAAAAATATATTCTCATGTAAGTGTGGCTCTGCTCTGGTTTTTTATGTCTTTCAGGGCTGGGCTGAATTTGGAAAAAAGCCTTGAGGAAAAAGCCAGGAAGAAAATGTCCAATCACGGCTTCAGCAGCCTCAGTGCAGCACAGGTCGGTCTCTCTGGCACTGACAGCCATTTCCTGCCGCTAATGTTTTTTCTTCTTTCCAGGATATTTCAATTAGCAGAAAGAAATTAGTCAATAATTAGCTGTTCCGCTCCCCGTCTGCAGATGAAAGCTTGCTGTAAGCACAGAGGTCGACCCAGCGCTCTGAGCTCCAGGCTGGCCAGGCGGGTGACCCAGCTGAAGCAGAAAGCCGCCGCCCAGCGTGGCGCTCCATCAGCAGGTGTGCTGCACAGCAGAGGGACCCTGGGTGGGGAGGATGGATCCAGGAGTCGGAGCAGACAAGAAAGAAAAGGTGGGAACCAAATTAGAACCAAAGCACCATTTTAACAGTTAGCCATTGTAGTTAGCAGCTCTGATTTTACGCTTAAAGGGAGGTATAAGCTCAGATACTGTGAAAAGAAGGGTTTAGTTGTACAACTTTGTTGAAGGTTACGAACCGTATGAGCTTAAATAATCTTACAAGTTTTTCCAATTTCAATGCTTTCACAAATTTCAACAAATTAACCAATTAATAAAAAACACAAGAAGAGGGAAAATTTCAGGAATATATATGTTGCCAAATGTCCATGTAAAACGAGACATGCTAACCCTAAAGCAGGGGTGGGCAACTGGCGGCCCGGGGGCCACATGCGGCCCCTATCAACCCTCAATGTGGCCCTCAGATCAATTTTTACATATCAGTTAATTGGAAAAATGAAGAAAACATGACTAAATCTGCCATAAAATCATGAAAACCAGAAATATGTCCATAATAATGTTTGATCACTGGTATATGTTGAGTTACATTTGAGACATAATTGACTGTAATCCTTTTTTGTCTGCTACAATTTGGCCCTCTGGCAGTGAGAATTAAATGAATGTGGCCCTTGCTGTGAACAAAGTTGCCCATCCCTGCCCTAAAGCTACCATCAGCATTGGCATGCAACCATTTTCTAGCTAGCATTAACTGTATATCTTTAATAAAAATGTAAAAACACATATTCAGCTCAATTGTACACCATTCTTGTTGTATTTTATCACTCTATCAAATAGAAAAGTAGGTTATTGAATGGTAATTTTAGCTTTTTGTCTTATGCTAAACTAAAATAATCTGAAAAATGTTTCAAATTTCAACACCTGTCAGACAGTTGGTCAGTTAATAAAATGACAAAGAGTGAAGTTCCAGGTGGATATTTAGCCATATCTCCATGTCAAACAACATGCCAATCTTAAAGCTACCATTAGAGTTTAGCTAACACTAATATTCTATTGTTTCCTAGCTAATATAACTTGTTTATCTAGAACACATTTTATAGTTATTTTACATGTGTGCTGTCATATCTTCTAACACTATCAAATGATAAAGTAAGCTAGGTTGGATTGGGGGTCAGCCCTATGTTCCCACAGGGTAGGGTTAGGGTTAGGGTAAGTTACCCTAACTGATACAAATTCATGAAAAAGGAAATGTGGGAACATAGGGCCTAATTTTGAAAAAAATCTTAGAAATGTGGGAACATAGGCACGCTCCAACAATGCAATAGCAATTTAATCTTCAACCTACATGTGCTATGTGAATATGCTGAATACAGACATTAGTTGTCCTTTAACCAGTGAACTGAAACTTACCCTTCCTTTGATGTTGACCCATCAGACTTGCAGCAGGACTGGGAAGCTGGTCCCACTGTAAAGAGGAAACGGGGTCGAAAACCCAAAATGCTGATGGGCATCACCTTAAACAGAGCTTACCAGAAGGATGGTCGGACCTCTGACAAGCTGGAAGTGAGGCATGAGAAGAGTGACAGCGTGAGCTCTGAGCACGGTGAGTGACACAAAAAATAAAAGTTTATAAATGTTTGGACTGGTGAAAACATCCGGCCAACGTCTCGAAGAACATCAGGTAGGGGCGCGCTGGTGGTGCAATGGTTAGGGCGCGTGCCCCATGTATTGAGGCTGTCGTCTCAACCAGGCGGCCCGGGTGTCGTTCCCCACTCTCTCTCCCTGGTTTCCGGCTCTATCCACTGTCCTATCTCTGCATTAAAGGCACAAAAAGCCCAAAAATAAATCTTTAACAAAAAAAAAGAACATCAGGTAGACACTATGATAGTATGTCTTTGTGTGTTTCTTTGTTTGTGTGTGCTCGTTGTGTGTCTGAGAGGTAGATGCCTGCCATCATTCAGAGGTGGTCGGGGGGGGGGGGGGGGGGGGGGGCTCTTCTCACTTCCCAGCTCATTTATCAAACTGTTAAAACCGTTAACGACTTGCCACAGGCATGCAACACAGCCACCCGGGTCCCTCAATGCCACGCGGTAATGTGAGCCGACTCTGGTCCCATCCAGAATGTCCCACCGCGGTCTTCCACTCTTTTCTTCACCTCGCCAACCTCCAGAAAAATGCACTTTCTCCGAGGCTTAACGGGATGGTTTTATAGAAAAGTAAAAAACGTCATGAAAACGCTAGAATCAACTTGACCCTGTGGCCTTGATGGCACAAAGAGTTGTGTTTGAATATGTATGTGTGTGTGTGTGTGTGTGTGTGTGTGTGTATGTGAGGCAAAGTGTTGACGAGAACGCTGTGTAAGTGACAAGTGTGTCAGAGATGTGTCGACACCTGACACGACCCCCCCGCCACTCAGCAACACACAGCTGCCAATGACACCTCGTGTGTGTGTGTCCATGTTTGCTTCTTGTGATTGCCTTTAAGGAACAGTCGCTGGGTTTTTGTGTGGTTATCGAGGAAAGTCTGATCACACATGCACCATAACTGTTCAAAGAGAGCGAGCTGTCAATATATCTCATCAAGGTAGTCCCTGGCTTTGGCTCAAACTGTGTTTACGTTGAGTTCACCTGAAGCTCTCTGACTGATCATATTGATGTCATGATTACACAGAGGAGGAGGACGAGGAGGAGGACGAGGACGAGGAGGAGGAGGAGGTGGACGGCAGCTACGACAGTGAAGATGGAGCAGATGATATTCAGATTAGCTCAGCCTCTAAAGATGCTTCTGCAAACCCTCCCGGGATTGGATCCTTTTCATCGCAGGCCTCCAAGTTTCAAGAAAACCAGAAAGCCAGGAGCAAGAGACCAGGGTCTCCAGGTGAGATCTTTATACATACATTATACTCCATAGAGAACAAACCAAATGACGTATTTTTGTAGGCCAACGTAGCATCTCCATAGTGTCTAATGAGAATTGGCCTATGGGATGTTTTCATTGGATTTTGGATCATTGCAGAAAATAAGCTCTGTGTCAAACACACGTTTCTGAAGCGTAGGCGTTTTGTTCAGCAGGATAATCTTCACAGATGAACACCATTTTTATGATGTTTGAAGAGTTAATGCAGCTGACAGAAGTACAAAGCTAACGTTATGGTACAAGCTAACTACACCACGGTCAGATGATTGTGACGTCACTACCGTTATGCTTCAGACGATCTCTGATATACTAATTCACCTAGCTTAATAAATAGTTTACTAACATAATATTCACCTTAACCTAAAGATTAAACCTACAGGAGACATCTCAGACTAGTGAGAGAGTTCCCGGCCTCTGTGTCCGGCGTGATGACGTTTAATGTCCCCGACAACCACTGTAGTCACATTTAGCCACTTGTTAGCAACGACACGTAAAAACTTCAAAATTCACAAGTGTGGGTATTACCTAACATAGTTTATGTGGTCTAACAAAACACCAACATCTCTTAAGCTTGTGTTAACCACAGACCTTATTTCAGGCGTCTAACCACAAACAATTCAAAATCCACATTGACTTTTAGACGTTAGACCCCATTGCGCTAACATGCTAACTTACTTCCTGGTTTTAGGACTCGTTCCTGTGACGCTCTATGTGTATATATGCTTCTGGAATGTAACTTTGTGATTATTAGTTACTCACTAAAACTAACTTGTTAAAAAAATGGACCATTAAAAAGCACGGAGAAGTGTGTCAAATTACTTGATGTGGTGCTTAAGACCAGGAAAAGACAAAAAAATATATTTCTAACCACATAACACAAATAAATCTTCCATCAACTGCTGGTCTTTAATGATTTCCCCTTTTCCTTTAGGTATGGGGGGCAAGCTCAGTACAGATCAGAGAAAACCGCCCAAAAGACCGAGCCTCTCCAACTCAGAGAGGGGACGTCTGTATCACCTGCCCAGCTGGGGAGCGCCTTCAGTGGGCTGCAGCTTCGAGCAAGACCGAGCCAGAGTCAGCAAGGAGGCCGTGAGGAAGACCTCAGCGGGACAGGGCATTCTGGGAAAGGTGAGACATTTCAGTGGGTTGGGTGCTATCTTGTAACCTTACAGTGACACAGCGATACTTTTTCTTGCGTAACGGACAACTTCTCAACAACGTAAATCACTCTCTGCTGGCAGCGGTGAGTTATGGTTGTCCTCTCACACCGTTATGTTACACCCTCAAAACGGGCATTTGCTCCTTGCATTTCCCCTCTCTGGCTGCGTCATTGGTGCACTTCTGTGTAAATGATCAGGGAGTAATACCCTGCGCTGTCCACCTTTGACATCTTCTTTAACATTTTTTTAACTTTTCACAAAGTTAGTGGGGATAACATCTGTTCATTTCTTAAGCAGTTGGTCCACTGCTCCATGTTAATTATACTGCTAGGCCATTCACCAAACATGTTTTTTTAATTTCTATTTAGACTTGGAGAAAAAAAAAGGTAATATTTGGAGCTAATCATGTGCAGGAAGATTCCATTTAGGTCGGACATAATCTCAAAGTTTGCTTTGCTGCAATTTCGTTCCCTCTGAACAATCACATAGAGGTGCAAGCATCACCATAAATTACTGCTATCACAAGTTGAAAGGAATGTCATTACATGACTCTTGAAATGAGTTAATGATCAGAAGAGGATACAGGTATGCTGCTTTGTGGTGGTTAGGAGGACAGGGGTTAAATTCAGGCAGCAGCTGATTGGAAAAGGTGACTCAGATAAGGTCACTCCCTTTTCGCCTTCTGCTGCATGCAAATAAAGTAAAACAGAAGGAAGGAGAAATGTATCTGTAGTAGCCCTCGCCTTCAATTTCCCTCATTCTTTGTAGAAGTGTGACATGCTCTGCAAGGAAGTTTGAAGATCCTACAGATTACAACAGCACCGATAACTTGAGAAACTAAGCATCAGCTGGAAATCAATCGCTTTATCAAATATACCATTTGCACTTGTGATCGGTGTGTTTGCATGCGTGCGTGTCAGCTGTGCTAACACACCGCCGGATCGTTGTATTTGTGTAGGCAGGCAGACGTTGGCAGGACAAACACATTTCAAAAGAGAAGTGCCCCCGAGGTTGTCTCTGTCTTTGAGTCATTGTGAGGGAATGTCCAAAAACACATAACTCCAAACCTAACAGAGACGTAGAAAGATTATCATTGGCCATAATCCTACACACACCCATTTATGCCTGCGCACACACACATACGCGCACACACACACACACACACACACACACACACACACACACACACACACACACACATACACCAAGCACTAAAGTGAAATTATCACCCATGCCCTCTGGTGACGAAACTTCTGTCACTAAAATATATGGTCTCCTGATGTGGAAATTTCAATAGAAAGCACACACACACACAAACCATTTCCCATGCACTCAATATTACGATCTTTTCTTTGGAAATACAAGCAGAAACCTGTTGGGTGAGCTGGCTTTCCATCAGCATTCATCTTTGGTTAGACTAGCCTAAACCGGTCTGGAGATGGAGATTTTCTAGTGTGTGTGTGTGTGTGTGTGTGTGTGTGTGTGTGTGTGTGTGTGTGTGTGTGTGTGTGTGTGTGTGTGTGTGTGTGTGTGTGTGTGTGTGTGTGTGAGACTGTAAATTAGGGTTCAACTTGAAGCTTTTATTTTAGCAGGCATCCACATCACTGAAGTGTCCTTGGGCAACACAAGGAAGTTTTACCCCTTGAGGAGCTGAAGTTATTACTGAGTGTTAAAGGTGGCAAAAAGGAAACAGAATCTTCAGGCCTCATTGAAGTTAGACAGAAGAGTCTTCTGTCCTCTCTTTTTTTTCCCATTGATGGATTCACCACACCAGACTTGATTCAGTCAGCTGCAGATCCTGTTTACTGTCGATGAATCTGAACTCATGTTGACGTGATACTGTATCCTGCTCGGTGCCCACTGATATCACATCCTCTCTCCTGTGCAGGCCAAGGGCCACGCAGTGAGCCGTCTCCTGCAGAGCTTTGCGGCAGACGACGGCTTTCGTTTGGATGAGGAGAGCAGCTTCTCAGAGGGTGAGGAGGAGGAGGAAGAGGAAGAGGAGGAGGAGGCACAGGAGAAAATGTTGATGCATCTCCCTCCCAACATGCCCTGCAGAATACCAGGTGGGTAAAAGCGGAGACGCATCATTTGTCATTTTAAAGCATGTTGGATCTCATTCCACACCTCTTTCTCTGCCTCCTTGTCCCTTCTTTCATTTCACATAATACAACACATGCACAAATTATGTATATCCCGTTATTTATCTTCTCCTTCCACCCACTCATCTTTTTGCCCCCCCTCCCTGCAGCCCTACCAAACTGTGTCCTGAGTAAAGAGATGTTAGTGGATGGACTGAAGATCCTGATCTCTAAGGAGGATGAGCTGCTGTACGCTGCCTGTGTCCAGACTCTGGATCTCCCAGACATGTAAGGCTCTACTCACCTGCTGCCTTTCAGTTTAATCTAAAAAATAAATAAAGGAAAGCATTGATTGAAAGAGTGAAAAAATACTCTATTCAGAGAATTTTGCATCTAATTAAACAAAACTACAGTTTTTACAAATCTTTTAAAAAAGTTTCCATCCTTCCATTCCTGAACACCACACTTGACACTCACACTGCTTAATGCCCCATATTTATTTGTATATAGTTTATATATAGTTTTATTTTAAGGAATAAAATACGATGGTTATGACGATGACCAAAAAATATAAAAATCCAGGTTGATATCAACCTCAGGTTCAACAATTTTCAGGGGGGGAAACACCACAGTTTGTTTCTAAAAAAAGTAGAGTTTTGTCTGATGACCACACCAACCTCAGGCTCTGCTTAACTTTTCCTCTGTTTGTCTTTTCACTTCACTGTTAAGCCTTTAATCATCAAACTTAACTCCAACTCAGATGTTACATATTCATGCACTATTATAACGTTTGTAATCGTACATATTGTTCATGCATAGGCTGCACAGATCTTAAAACATGAAGCTTTTTTTTTGAGTAGGAAGAGTTGAAAAGCATTTGTTCAAATGCCCTGTTATGCCCAAGCAGCTGTTAGAATCATGACAAACATAATGTCTAGACAATAACAAGGCCAAGACACAATGCCATGGCAGACAACATAGACGCCAGTGGGATCAGCATAGCATGAAACCACATTTTCAATGAACGACCTTTAATTTAAATGTAAATAAAAAATAATTAAACATTTCATTTCTATACTTTTTTTTTTTTTTTTAGTTTCAGTGTTGTCATCGAAGGGGAACGCGGGAATCGCCCTCGGATCTATTCGCTGGAGCAGCTACTACAGGAGGCTGTGAGTTTCAGTCTGGAGGCTCCATGACAAGCTCTTACTTGTTGCAGTATTGTGGGTTGTTGTGCTTCGTTTACTGGAAGGCCACATGACCTATACAGAGAGTTTTGTGACTTTTGCAGGTGTTGGATGTGCGGCCCCAGACCGAGGCAATCCTGACTGAAGGGACACGAGTGTGTGCCTACTGGAGCGAGCGCTCGCGTTGTTTGTACCCGGGATACGTCCATCGAGGTGAACAAGACACACTTAAAAAAACTTCCCTCTATAAACATACATCGGTTGGTTCCCAGCAACTCATGGGTTGCATCTTTTGTGTTTGGCTACAGGAGGCTCAGGTGAGGAGGAGAAGGAGGGCAGTGTGATGGTGGAGTTTGATGATGGAGACAGAGGACGTATTTCCCTTGCAAATATCAGACTTCTCCCTCCAGGGTACCAAATACACTGTGAGTGCGGCTCTCAAAAGCAGGCAGAAAAGAGAGATAAGACGACTGTTGGATGAAAGAATGAATGAAAGAAATCCCAATATTTGATGTTTTGTCTCTCTGTCAGGTGCTGAACCCTCTCCTGCCCTTCTTATCTCACCTGGTCGCCGCGGTCGTCGAAGCTCTACCCAGGAGAAGAAAGACACACCCACAGAGAAGCCAGCCAATGGGGATCCAGCAGGAAGGCCACAAGAGAAAAGACCAGGTGAGGCAGACGGGGACAAATGCAGGGGTCTGCTCAGGACTATAAAATCCTTTAACTCACAGTTGATCAACTTTCATTTCTTCAACAAAACACTTTGTAAAGGTTCTGCCTGTTATGAGAATCTTTAAATTGTTTTGACTCATGACAGATATGCAAATACATTCCATTAACAACACAAAGTTCACACACACACATTTACATTCACATTTGAACCCTTAAACATATTTAAAACCCAACATATAATAACAAACTGATAAAATAGAGCTTCACTAAAGAGGGGGCCAGGTTCCCAATGGGGACTATTGAAGGGGTGTTCAGTAGTAACATGAAGTGTTACTTGTAGCTTGAGGTAGCATGCAAATTTTTAAGTATCCTTACTAATGCCAAATTCTCATGGCAACTTAGAGAAACCATACTTTATCTTCCTTCAAACAGGAAACTGTACATTTTTCCTGGAGGCAGAAACTGAAAGTGGTGATTTGCAGGATGACTGTGAAAATTATCCCACTTGTAGTAGTAATCATTTATTTCGGTCACAAGAAAAAAACAAAAACATTTTGAACAAAAAGGTGTAGGCTGAAGCTTTAGCTTATTACACCTACCCTTGTTACAAATCTCATTATTTAAGACACTACTAGTTTGGTTACAAAAAAATCCAAAACATATCAGAACAAAAGAAAATAATTTATTTCAAAACAAAACAAATGAACAAACAAAAAACAAAACAGAAGTCACACTCACAAAAAATAATCAAACCGGCCTTTTATATTTGTTAAACACCATTTTTTTAAACAAAAATTTAAATCTGGAAAGTGAACTACACATTCTTAATTCCACAAGTTAAGCCCTTTTACCCAAATACACCTGTTCTTTAAAGTCACTTGACTTTCCATGATGATAGGATGGTTGAGTCCCTGAACCGTTGTGACAAAGTTGCGAGGCGCAGGTTGCAGACACTGTCCCAATGCATCAGTTTAATAAACTTTTATACTATCATTGATTTATATTAAGAAAAAGTGTCTGTTTCTTTAAAAAGACAACCTGAGGAATCCACTGAAGATCACCCAGATGATGTTGTCTGGAAAGTTTTTTATGTCTCACTTGTAACATGACTCTCACACAGCCCTTAAGGCCATAGTAAAAATCTCCCTAACAAAAGCTCATTTACAGATCCAACTGTCAGAACAGAGCAAGTAAATACACAGTAAGACTCATAAATGTAAAATAACCTGTTTGCTGCCTTTCATTTAGCTGCTCTATGACCACATTAATCATGACTTTACGTTGTGTCGTCAGTGTGCTTTGAGTTAAGCAACATACATGTTAGTCGTGAAAGCCTCAGAGTGACAATAAAAGCTGGAGGCAGAGACAGGTCGACCAGGTTTGGTGTTGTAGTTTGAGTAATGAATATGTTGAAACTTACCCGGCTAGGTGAAGATCAAGAAGATAAAAGTATCATGTTTCCCTGCAGCTCTTAGTTTCCACAATTAATCTCAGTCTGCCCCCTCTCCGACTTGTCAGTTGATATTGAATATAACACCTCTTTGTTTTTGCTTCCCTTTTACAGTTGGCCGACCGAAGAAAATCCACTCCGCGCCTAAGACCGTCAGCGCACCGACGTCAGTATCAGACGCTGTAAGCAAAGGCAACACTTCCTTGTTGAGTTGGTCGGTGCCCAGGAAGAGGCCTCCGGTCGATTTCTTCCTCTTCAACGGCACGTCCCGGAAAACCCAGAAGAGGATGCGAGAGCGGGACTTAGGATTCTTCCATCGCCCTGCCTACCATCATTTTGCTCCTCCAGTGCCCATCAAAGGCATATTCGGCTCCCCTTTTGAAGGTGACTCTTTCAGCAGCATCGCCAACGGCTACTCTACGTTTGGAAGCTCTGGAGCGGGACACCCAGCCAACGCGGCGGCCTCCGCCGGGCTCCGGGACTCTTCGTCCTCCGCTTGCCCCTCGGCTGTCTCGACGGCGGCTGGAAGCAGGAAACCAGTGAGTGAACGGGACAGGAAGCAGCTCCTGGTTAAGCTCGACCATGAAGGAGTGACCTCTCCTAAAACCAAAAATGGGAAGGCTCTGCTTCGACTTGGTGGGAGTGGAGTAAGAGGAAGCAAGTGTTTGAACTCCACAGACGCACCGCTGAGATATATCCAACCCGGCCAGCTGGTAAAGGAGGGGAAGAAAGGTGGAGGGGAAAGAGAAAACACGACGGCCCACTCTGAGCCTGTTCTGAGGAAAGATCCTCTGTCAGCAGGTGTCAGTGGGGATTACAGTTTGGACTACCCGAGTGACTGCCCCAGCTCGTACTCTGAGCTCGATGAGGACGACGAGGACGACGGCCGAGGCGCTGAAGCACGCAGAGGAAGTGCTGCAGCCTCATCCCATCGGGGTGGCCGCTTTCTCTCTCGTCTCTCCGTCTGCTTCTCCTCATCGTCCTCCTCCTCTTCCTCCTCCGGCTCCATCTCCTCCTCTTCCCTTTGCTCTTCAGACAACGATTCCTCGTACTCCTCCGATGAAGAGTCCTCATCCGTGCTGCTGCGCCGCGCTCTGCTCCAGCAGGACAAACACAAGCACAGGCAGAGCATGACCTCCTCGGACCACCTGAGCCCCGATCCCACCACCTCCAACTCTTCTCCCTCTGCCACCGCCCCGACTCAAGGCTTTGTGGCCAAAGCCAGCGTGGCCGTCTCGGCGTCAAAAGTGAGAACTGACAGAGGAGAAGAGAGGAAGGAGTTCAAGTCGAAGGGTCGTATGCTCGCAAACAGCAGCACAGTTAAGACCCAACTGAAGAGGAAAGAAGGACTTCCTAACAGCCATCATCAGAGACAGAGCAGTGCTGTGAGCCAGCAGCTGAAACCTGCCTCTAAAGACTCAGCGTCAGCTAAGAGGCAGCGGATGACTTCACCTGAGCCGCTGCCCAACATGGCTCCACATGTGCCTGGAAGACAGCTCTGGAGGTGGTCAGGCAACCCGACACAGGTAGGATACACCAGGCTGTATTTTAAATGATGTTCAAATATTATGATAATAAATAATATATATTCAAATAATTCTTTTTTTAATTTTACATTATATTTCTATATTACTGTATTTATGTGTATTAGTAATTTGAGTGTTTATTGCATGGCCTTGTGGAACAGTCTTTACATTTCACTGCACATCTGTATGAGCATGTGACAAATACAAATCTTGAATCTTGAATCTTGAATGTTCAAGAAATGCACTAAATACATCTCTTAGACCTCCCCTGCTGTACTGCAGAACTTGGAGTTGTAATACTCATAACTTAAAACCATTGTATTGAAAATCCTAACTACATCAGATTGTGTTTTTTGTTTTTTCTATATTCTGACTTTATTGTCTAGGTGTTGTTGTCCTGGGCATCAGTATCCTAATTAAGCTCGCTCCTGAAGTGAGCAACAGGTTGTTGTTACAGCTTCTGTTGTGTCATAGCTTGATTACATAATGTCAGTGCAATGATACGACATAATCCCTCTTTTCCCTTTTGGCCTGCCTCAGACTGTGTTCACATTTTTCAACACAATCAGGCTTACTTGGTGTGGTCAGTCACTGAGTTACCATTTATTATCAAGCCATTAAGCTTCTACTCAGCCAATCTCAGCCTGCATTTTGTTGTTAACACGACTGTAATATCGGCTGAGATTTTGCACTTACAAAGAAGCTAAGTCTTTGGTGTGTACATGCCCAAATAAATCAAAATATGTAGTTATATAGATTGTAACGTAAGATATCGTTACTGTATCAGATATGAAATTGATGTCAGATTTAGAGTGAATGATATGTGTTAAGCATAAGGATAAAGATACAAATCTGAACCCCTCACATTCATCTTTTGTTAAAGGTCCACTATGGAGTTTTGGTAGAGAAATGTGAACGTTGGAGAAATGTACAGATCATGTGGTTTATGTTCATAACTCTATACACAAACTGTCGTCAGAGGAAAATTTGGTCCCTGGAACACTGTTTGAAGATTATAATCAGATAATTATACGTGAGAAGTTATGTTGGGGGGTCCACAATAGTGAAAGTGTAACTCTCCTGGTAGCTTTTTAAGCTCTAAACAGTGTTCCAGGAACCCAATTTTACTTTGAGTAAAGTTTGTGTATTCAGTTCAGAAAATAAAGCATAGAATTGTTTCACTTCTCCAACTTTCAAATTTCACCACCAAAACTACACACCTTTAAGAAGCCGTTCTTTGTCTTGAGAGGACATATTCAATCTCAACGTTTTTTGGTCAACAGGTTTAAGCAGAACAAAATATATCTTCATTATTTTTCTAAATAGGGCTGGTGGTGAAATAAATCCTCCTCCTTGAATAAATGAGAGTTCTGTTTTTTATTCTCTCTCCCCGACAGAGGAGAGGTCTAAAGGGTAAAGCCCGCAAGCTTTTCTACAAGGCCATCGTGCGGGGCAAGGAGACGGTGCGTGTCGGAGACTGTGCTGTGTTCCTGTCACCCGGCCGGCCCCAGCTGCCCTATGTGGGCAGAGTTGAGAGCCTTTGGGAGTCGTGGAGCTCCAGCATGGTGGTCAGGGTCAAGTGGTTCTACCACCCAGAGGAGACTCGCCTCGGGAAACGACACCGCGACGGCAAGGTAAAAGACCAGAGCGAGAATAATTTTCTGAAATTGAGAATTGGACAAACAGTCCGTGACATTTTCATTTAAATTTATCACCACTTTGCTTCCTCTTTATTCCCCAATCCCATCTCATATGAATGCTTAAATCTCCACTTAGTTCATGTAACCGAACCATTTTGCTCTTCTCAATGGAAGGTGGAATCTTTCTCTGGAATAAAAATCACTGCTCCACAGGAAGTCCTGCAAATTTGCAAATTTGGCTACAGCAAAAATGGCTTGTTCGGAGTTAATACAAAAAGAGCTATGCACATAGAATAAACAGAAACTCCCATCTAACATAGATGTGCACATATATAAGGTCAATGCTTGCTGGAACTAAAAAACCTTATAATGACAAAAAAAAACACAGCTGAAGCATGAAAAGGAAGTATGTGTGTGGGAGTCAAATGGCACCAAAGATACTGCCAGAAAAATCAAAATCTTGCTACTTACATCTCCAGCAAAGTATGTTGTATTTAATCTTTTCATATTTAAGACTAGTGTTGCTAAGTTAAATCCTGGTTGTATATATTCTCATTCTTAGTTTTGATTTTTTTAGTGTTTATTTACTTTCTATTTAATATTATATTGTGTTTATTTGCTCATATTGTGTGTTTGGATAACCTGCTGCTGTAACGCCACAATTTCCCAGTTTGGGATCAATAAAGTAATTCTATTCTATTCTATTCTATTCTTACCCTTTTTCTCATTTTACTGTTAACACATGATAATTGTTAACTGATTTGCCTCTGTCTCTCTTCTAGAACGCCCTGTATCAGTCGAGCCACGAGGATGAGAACGACGTCCAGACCATCTCCCACCGCTGCCAGGTGGTCAGCAGGGCTGAGTACGATCACCTGATGCATGAACGTCCGCCTGGCAACGCGGCCAACGACCTCTTCTACCTGGCTGGTACCTACGAGCCAACAACAGGCCAGCTGATCAGTGCAGACGGCATGGCAATCGTGTCCTAGCACCGCCAGCCGGAGAGAGAGAGAAATCCACAAATATTTACCTGAAGTCTGAAGTCGACTCACGGTCCATCAGAAAACAGGACAGGGGGACAGAAGGAAACCAAGACAAAGAGTTTGAGCTCTGCGTATTGATCCGTCCCGTATCAGAGAAGGGGCTAGCCCCTGGAGAGAGCCTGACGGTACTGGCACTTAAGAGGAGTCTGGTTTGTTCTGGAGAAAAGTCTGACCCATGTTAAGACTGTTTATCAGATATGGACGGAGGCTCCCTGTCACAACTAGAGTCCACAGCCCTCCCTGTGGCTGAAAAAAAAACGGAGTATCTAGTCACCAAGACAAGATTACTGCAAGAACAGGAACCCAAGGACAGTAGCACTTTGGAGTACAGTCGCTTGGATATGCTATGGAGGCAGGGTGGCAGACTTGACTGTCTGAAACAAAGACTGTATCAGAGAGCGAGTGAGACTGTGAAGGAGAGAGAGTTAAAGTAAACCACACTGGTTTGGATGGTTGAAATGGTCTTATACTGGTAGTTTTGACGAAGAAAACGTGATTGGGAGATCCCCAACAGGACCAAAAAAACACTGTAGTTCAAACTGTGTTTGTAAATGTGTGTGTGTGTGTGTGTGTGTGTGTGTGTGTGTGTGTGTGTGTGTGTGTGTGTGTGTGTGTGTGTGTGTGTGTGCAGAGTGGCTGCTACTACCCTCTTCAGCATTTAATGAGCTCTAAGTAAATAGTGCTTTAGTGTGTGTGTGTGTGTGTGTGTGTGTGTGTGTGTGTGTGTGTGTGTGTGTGTGTGTGTGTGTGTGTGTGTGTGTGTTTGAACTGTATGCATGTTAATGCACAGGTACATCTGTGCTCATCAAGCAGATGAAGTCCTGACACACCATCGAGCTGAGTATTAATCTGTGCAGTGCTTAACGTGCAAAATACAGAAACGACTTCTTCGCCTGTAAAGCCATACACGTCAATACCTCTCGCTTTCGTATCCTCCTCCTGAGGTGCGGAGACACATGTACATGGAGTGTTAGTTTGAGCGCTGCGAGCATGTTGGTCTGAATGGAAATGCGTGTGTTGTGTGTACAGCGTTTTGTGTAATATAACATTTTGTAAATAGTATACATATATATTTGTTTTTTTGTTGATTTTTTTGCAGAACAGATTATTTTATTTAGATTTTTTAGAGTGGGTGGGGGTCGGGAGGTCGGGAGGTCGGGAGGGTCTGGCAGAGGGAGGAAGTGGGGTCGTTTTTTTTCTCACTTACTGCACTGAACAGGATCACAGGTTTGGATTTAGGGTCAAACTGATGTAAAGACTTAAAGGTTGTAAAGTCTGCGTAAGGCAAAGTGTAGATATGTAAAAAGGAAGTTTTTTAAAACTAAATCAGAAAAAAACACTCTTTTTAAACATGTGTCCAAATCCTTTTTTTCTCTCTTTATTTTACTCTGTGGGGGTTTCGAATGTGCGTTTCCTGTTGGGAGCATTTTTTAACAAAATACTGGAAAAAGAAACTGAGTTTCTGCTGTTCTATGATCCTAAAAGAATCTAGTTCTTTATCTACTTTAGCCTGTATTCCTATATGAAATGTAGATATTTATCTGGCATCAAAAATACCAAAGCACCTGTAAGTTTACGCTTCATTGCATCAGAAGAAAACAATTTTATTAAAAAAGACATTCAATCAAATCTGAATCCGGGACCCCTGCAATCATCGAGGTATTTTAGGTAGAGCTCCTCTTGTTGTCTGCTCGTGTTCATCCAGCGTTGCTATGACAGCCTCCGAGAAATGTTGCAGCAACATTGTCTGCACACCGCCCAGCTGATGCACTTGAGGTCTCCATGGCAACCGGAATGGCATCACGTGACTGTGAAGGACAATCAGGGCCAATCAATGGGACAATGTTGAGAGACAAAAAAAAAACAAGATAAGGATCAAATCACAAATTATGCTTCTTGTCACTTTTATTCCTGCTTTGCCAAAAAAAACTGTCTCTGTGTTTTATGTTTGCTTGTTTTTACCATTGTCTTACTGTTTATGCAAGCCTGGGATGACTGTTTGTCGTCATTGTATAGGATGTACAGGGGGAAGATCATTCATGCAATTTTCTTTTTTTTAGACATTGACTGATTTTCAACTACCATGTTGCTGTTACACTGCGAAGCAAAAGCTTTAAATGGAATCTAATGTGAAACTCAATTTTAAAAATATCACTTTAATGGGTCTTTAATTATTTTTGTTTTTTATTTCAAAGCTGTATTTTCTTTAAGGAAAACACTGGATTCAGTTCTGGCCATCACATTTTTGAAAGAAGCAACATCATTGTGTTTTTCTTTTTAAGACCCACTGGAAACTGCTTTGTACGGTTGAGATAGCCTACTAAAATATATTATGTAAATTCAGTCATTCTTTTGGAAATATGACTTAAATATTTCCCCATGTACAAAAGGAAACAAATATTTATCTTAATTTTATTGCCTTTTTGTGTTTCATTAAAAAAAGATTCTTACAAAAAAAAATACATTTCTTTTTTCTTTCCTGCTGGGTGTTGGGTTTTCTGACTATCACCTTGTGTTCATCAATGTCGATCATTTGTCTGTTAGAAGAAAAAAAAGAGAAGAAAGTGTGGAGGAGAAAAAAACACACGAGAGGAGGAAGCAATTTGAAACAGTATATGAAGCCAACAGAAAAGGGAAACTGTATCTAGCGATGTTTCATGGAAGACGGCGAGGTGGGTCAGGTATTCAGAGTGATAAAGACGGAACTGGACCATTTAGAGAACAAAGCGAGGATATCAGCTTTCCACCCGCAAAGGTTTCAAATCCAAAGTTTGTAGATGAGTGTGAACAAAATCTAGCTAACATTGTCCTTTTTACACACCTGAATGACACTTCAGCATATAACAGGTTATCACAGGTGTGTGTATTAGTGCTGGGAAGGACACGAGTTTAAACTGGGCAGGGTGTGTGTAGCTACTTTCTGGGACAAAGTGCAGACATTTACAACCTTTTATTTGAGGCCTCCTGTGAAATATTCACACCTTTTTTTATCACGCTGCAACCGGAGCCTTTGTGACTCATCTTATTGCAACATGAAAGTGATGATGGAGGAGTTTACCTTTTGACCTCAAATTACAGCGCGGTCGCCTCGTGGAAGCACGCAAAGACTGCTCGAGCGCAGCGTTCCCTTAAATGTCGGCCGTAAACTTCATTTTTTACTCTTAGCTTTGTCTATTTAATGTCAGTCTCTCCTTTGCTGCTGTTTCCTTATCTCTCCAGTGTGCGTAGCCTATCTCTCCTGGCTTTACTTGTCAATACAGGAAAAGTTGACTCACATCTTCCATGAATAACTCTGCTAATGGTCCTTATCCATAGATTCAAATCACAAACACGCATGAAGGCCCTTTGTCCAACAGTGTGTGTGTGTGTGTGTGTGTGTGTGTGTGTGTGTGTGTGTGTGTGTGTGTGTGTGTGTGTGTGTGTGTGTGCGTGTGTGTGTGTGTGTGTGTTTGCTTTTCTTTTGTACTGAGTTTAGCTAGTTGGGCAGTTTAACATGTTATTGCACAGATATGAAACAGCGACACACACACACACATTTTACACACATATTCCCACTGTTGGTCTTTTACATCCTCCTCATTGGCTCCTCAATCAACCACCGCCTTCAAAACACACACACACTAAGTGCACTCTTTGACAGCTTATCAGCACGTTTGCATTGGGCTTATCGGGCTGACATTGTTAAACTACTTTACCCAGAATGCTGCGGGAGATAGGTGCACAATGGGAAGCTAGGGGTGCCCTCTGGGTTAATGAGAGCGGGCTTTCACATCTTAAGAGCAAACATGCCGCAAGCTGATTAGTGTGTGTGTGTGTGTGTGTGTGTGTGTGTGTGTGTGTGTGTGTGTGTGGGATGGGGGGGGGGCTCAAGGGGTCAAAGGAAGGTGTGGCAGTTTTTTTATTGTGTTTTTATTTTATTTTGGGGTGGGTTGGTGGATGGGGTCACTAGATACTACAACTAAAGAGTGCAGAGAAATCTGCTATGTTCAGTTTTATGACATTTATTGTAATTTTGTTTTTAAAAAAGTACTGTTACCGAATAAATACTTGGAGAAACTGGTACATTGAAAAGGGACAGAGGATGTATGTGAGTGTGGGTGGGCTTGCATATAAATGTGTGTGAGGCGGTGTGTGTGTGTGTGTGTGTGTGTATGTGTGTGTTTGGGGGATTCAATCCAGAGAAAGCCCTCCATTTAGATATAGCCGCAGCCTGTCACTGAAGTTAATGTATGGCTGTCAGCTGCAGCAGGATGTGTGTATGTAGAGAGTTTGTGAGTTGTATATATGTGCATGTCCAGGTTTGTGTGTGTGTGTGTGTGTGTGTGCGTGTATGTGTGTGTATTCAGGTCGCTCAGAGTGGGAGTAAGCAGATCAGCGGTCTTCTCTCTCACCTCATTCATCGTTCATATGAGGATCTATGAGCTCTCCGTCCAGATCCAGCTTTCTATCTGTGTGTGTGTGTTTGTGTGTGTGTGTGTGTGTGTGTGTGTATGTGTATGTGTGTGTGTGTGTGTGTGTGTGTGTGTGTGTGTGTGTGTGTGTGTGTGTGTGTGTGTGTGTGTGTGTGTGTGTGTGTGTGTGTGTGTGTGTGTGTAAGATTGTGGATGTCCTTATAGTTAATGTGACTCATTGTTGTGCAACATATTCTGTGGTAACAGATGGTGAGTTCACAATCATGGATTCTTAGTGTGGAAATCATCTTCATGTGCTCTTAACATTACAACACCAACAAACCTCCACTGGTCTGTTCTCACTGTTTTCTCTAATTTCCCAAATTTTGTCTTGTTCCCCATTTCACTGGGAAAAAAAATCAGATGGTTTCTGCTTTCTTTTCTAGATTTTTATGATTGATCATTTGAAAATGTTGTGGCAATATTTCAGCTCAGCTACGGCTCCCCCATTCTAGACATTAATAGTAAATATAACAATATGCTGTCCTTCAAGAGCAACAGAATTATTATTTTATTTTTTCTTTCTTATGTGTTTTGTGTTTTGGATCCAACATGGAAAAAAATACCTTGCCAATTATCTTTGATTTAGTTTGTAGGCATTATCAGGAAATAATAGCTCCTGTAGACACGACTTTGAAAAAAGATAATTGCCTCTATAACTACTTTTCAAACCAGCTGCATCTGCTATGAAAGCCCCAATATTTACCTTTTTTCCTCTTCTAACTTGTCAATCACATTTACATGTTTTGTCTGGGAAAAAGATTTAACTTTTATACATTTCTATGGACTTCTATTCTCTCTTTGATTTATTTATTAGCTCAAAGGATATAGAACATTTCATTTGTTTCATTTGTTTTATTTGTTTAATGCTCAAAAGCAACATGCTTTTATGCAATCTCTTTGTAAAGGGCCAACTTTTTTTAATCTAAAAGATGCAATAAATAATTCCACTTAATGTGAACCTTTTCATTAAATCAAGTACTGCTTGAAAAATAAATCAAAATATGAGTCATTGCATTTCCATAGTATTATACACACAATTTGTATGCAGGAAATGGTTTTCGTGTATGTTCAATTTTATTTTATGTATGGTTTTTAACTTAGGTTATGAAGAAAAGACATGAAATAAAAAAAATGGAGGAGGCAAAAGAAGCCTAACAGTGATGAAGAAAATGGGCAAAGGAGGAGAAGGGAGGCAGTGAACGAGCAGGAGGTGAGTTGTGTTTTATACTTAATGCTCTCTCAGGGTCATCGGGGGTCAAACTCGCTCCATAAGCTCCTAGCTCTCAAGACTTAAACATTGAACTGCAGGAAAATCAACATGATGATTTTTACTCTCTTGCTATCTTGTCTCTCACACACACACTACACACACACTCAAGGTTGTAGATTACTCAGAGCACTTGCGGTGGTTATCGCTCATGCTGGTATTTGATATTTGGAATAGTGGAGGAGTGTCATCTGGCTCGAGGCGGACTTCTCCGTCGGTCAGGGGAGGTCAAACATCCTGTAAAGTCTTAGTGGACACAGCAACCGGAGACACGGTCCCCTCATCACTGTCGTGTGGGAATGTGTGTGTGTGATATTTATGATGTGATCGACATGCAGCCTGGAATTTATATGTGTGTATGCGTGTGTGTGTGTGTGCGTGCGTGTTTAAGGGGGAGTTTGCACCGGTTGTTTCATATAAATAAACTGTACATATCTGTTTCCTGCTGTCACTGGGTAGAGTGGACAAGCTTGGCAGTCACACACACACACACACACACACACACACACACACACACACACACACACACACACACACACAGAGCCTTGTATGTTCCTCTTGATGAGTTGTCAGCTGCACTGCGAGTCATTAAAAGACCTGTAATTGTACACCTGTCTGGTTGTAATATGTAAGATAAATTAATGTGAAACCTTAACAGTGAGATGGTGTCTGAGGGTTTATCTCCCCCATGCCGATTTGCCGATTTCACCACTTGAAATGTGAATTGATGCAACATTGGTGAAGACAGTCGGATTGTATTTCCTTACATTTCATCAGTTTTCTTGCAAACATATTCCACATTAAATGAATACTTCACCACAGCGTCCCTGTAACTTTCTACATTGACAGTAATAAGAACTAAATCAAATGTTGCTGTAAACAAGTATTGTAAGTCTGTATTCATAAAATAAGTCTGCTTTGATGATTAAAGAAAAAGTTGGACATTTTGGGGAAAGATAAAAATTTGCTTTTTTTTCAGATTGAGATGAAAAGATTATACCCTTTCTGTTTTTGCATCACAGAACACAGTCAGTGACTTCATTTCTATTATTTCTGATGAGGCTTGTTTAAAAAAAAAAAAACTGGCAGTCCATGCTGGATATCTGGATGACATCCCTGCATTTTTATTCCAAATTGAATCTAGGCTCTGAAAGACATTTATTTTTTGGCAAAAAGAGACAGAAAATTGTATGTAAAAGTCTTTTTTTTTTTAAGAAAAGAGAAACTGTGATTACAGAAGCATAATACTAATCTTACCTGATGAACTCCATGTGATAAGAAACATGGAAGGTCATCTGCAATGTAATTTATTTGCTTGATAGTCTATGCGCCTGCACACTAATTACAAAAAAAACAGACAATCTCTGCAATTATTACAAATCACAAGGGAAGCCATG